GCCGGTCTCCGGTTCGGTCATCTCCTCCTCGACCGGTTCGCTACTGCCCGGCAGATCGTCTCCTTGAGGAACTGTTTCCGGGTGATCCCCTATCACCCGGGTGGGCGTTTCTCTAATAACCTCACTCTCGCGGCCTGAGTTTCCCGAACTGCTCGAGCCCGATCCCGAAGAGTCGCTTGTGCTCGAGGATTCCTGCTGCTCGGGGGCTCGCTAGGGAGCCTTTCCCGGTCGTTGAACGACTTCAGGAGAATCGGACATGATCTCTATCTCCTCGTCGCTGATCTGCTCGAAACCGTGGTCATAATCTGCGACCGAAACGTTTTGGCTATCCGAGTCCGACATGTGGTTCTACCTAAAGGTCGGTCGAGGTTAGTACAGGGTTCGGGAAGTTAGTTCGGAGTTAGTTCTATCCTACTCCTATGCAAAGTTAAGAACAAAGCAAAAGATAAGGAATTAAGAGCTTACCGGTTGATGATACTTGGAAGAAAACTTGAAGCTTGGTTTGCTGAACTGCTGCTCGGGACTCTCTGAGGGTACCGATCGCTTTAGTGGATTGAGGAAAGTTCAAATGAAGGCCTCAAGGGCCTATTTATAGGAGAGCGTTTAGGCGGGAAAACGAGTCCACTTGCGTGACACGACCCGCACTGATTCCGAGGCGACCGTTGCAGTCGCCAAGGCCGGCAGTGGCCGACACGTGGCGAGGGAAGGAATGACAGCTGGCCGGTCGGTTTGATGGCCGACGTTTGGGCTTCTTCATCCCGTCCCGTTTTTTCCCGGACGGTCAAAAAGGCCCGGGCTGGGGGGCTTTTGGTAGGGAATATCCCGACCGACATAAGCTTTACCCCGACCGAGTTGCCTTCGTCCTTCTTTCTTTGTCTTTGCAGGTAACAGGTCGGGCTTCATCTGAAGAACCTGGTCGGGGTCCGACCGGGAGTTGCTCGAGCGGCATTGTCGACCACCGAGCGGTAGCCCTTTGGCGAGAGAGCTGACAAAGGACACGTGGCGGCTCCTTACGACGACAGACAGGGCACCTGGGAGGGTGACACGTGGTGGCTACGTGGAGAACATGCCGAACGACCGGATTCTTGTCTCCGGCACAGCGGCTATAAATACCACAGTAGCTACAGTGTAGGGGACTTTTGGACGATCGATAGGTTGTTACTAGAGAATCCCGATCGCAGTCAGTCGGCACTCAGAGCAACCAAGTAGATTGTACTTAGGGCCTTTACTGTGATGAATAAAGATATTTACTTGCTTTAATTGGTCTCGAGTTTATTTAATATTGCTTACGTAGAATTAGCAGTATCAATATATATATATATATATATATATATATATATAGAGAGACTTGCACTCGGGTGCGAACGGCTCGCCCAGGCGCGAAATAGGAATGGATTCTGTTCGTCCACGTGTCCAGATCTAATGGATGAGAAACACTGATTTTTAAAAAAAATGCGGTGGCATTTTCGTAAATAATTGAACATCGAAGTGCAAGTAAAATGTATTACAAGTGCATGTAAAATGTATTATAGGTGCAAGTAAAAATTTACACTGAGCATCAATACTTAGTTGCACTTATAGTTCTAAGTAGTTGCACCTATAGTTCTAAGTAGTTGCACACATAGGTATAAGTAGTTGCATCTAGGTGTATGAATATTTGCGAGTGGTTTTCAGGAGTATTACTACCCGCTGAACTCAGATCAATGAATGTTAACAAGCCAAAATTACATGCACTTATAGGTGAAAGTAGTTGCACCTATAGTTATAAGTAGTTGCACCTATAGTTATAAATAATTGCACATATAGTTATAAGCACACCCAGGTGCATGAATGGTTGCGGAAAGCGAATGCTAACAAGGCAAAATTACATGCACTTATAGGTGAAAATAGGTGCACTTATAAGAGATTTTACTTTCACTTCGATGTTCAATTATTTTAGAAAATGCCACCGCATTTTTTTTAAGTTATTAGATCTGGACACGTGTCGCGCGCTGATTCGTTCGCATTTCCTTCTTGGGCACTTATTCGCACCTGAGTGCGTCCCTATATATATATATATATATATATATATATATATATATATATATATATATATTCACAACCAAACATATCCCAAAGGCCCAAAGTGCTTTTAAACTTTATTGCGTGTTTGCGTCATCATATAACCTGAAAAGTCAAAAGTTCAGAGGTGGTGACGAAGTGTTGACTGTATTATTATTATTGTTTTTATGAAGCTTGATTGATGCTTCCACTCCACGTCAGATCTTATATCCCTCTTCTCCCGTACAACACATCAATCTCATATATGTTCACTCCATGAGTCACGCCACCTCTTCAATCTTTTAATTATAAAAGTTCTATTACATGAGTCTCAAATCTTACACTTTCAAATTTGTTTTTTGACATAGCAGACATTGATGATGACTATTTTCTACGTATGAGCTCCTGTAAATGTGTCTATATCAAAATTATAAGTGTGGCCTGGGAATAAGGAATGAGAATAGATACAGTATTTTTCTAATAAAAAATTGTATGGAGTATCACTTTTTTTTTTAGAGGTGTTTGGTTAATTTATACTCCGTACAACTTAACCAAAGACATATAAGTATATAACATTCTCAAAAGAATGCAACATATCCTCTAGATAAAATTTTGAAGGGAAGGCGATTCCCTCACAAGTACGATTCTTTTTTTGGTTATCTAAGATTACAATGGATATTTACAAATATTGCCAGTTTAATTCTAATTATTATAAATATATTTTTTATGTTAGTTTAAAATATGTATATTATATTTAATTTATTTTGTAATTATATATTTTATATTTCTTATGACGCCATGTTAGCTAATAAGATAATTTTGTTTCTCAAGTTCAAGATTTTAATTAATTATTTGCAAATTATATAATCATATATGATACCATTATCTTATTTATTTATTTTAATTTTAAAATTTATTAAAATACATAAAAATATGTTAAGGGTATTAAAGTAATATATATATATATATATATATATATATATATATATATATATATATATAGAGGTAAAAGTTCAGGTGTGAACTTCAGTTTTATATATATATATATATATATATATATATATATATATATATATATATATATCTTTGGATATCTGGGAGCTTGTTTGGGATGATCAACATGGGGCGAGGGTCCCTCGACGTACCTCTAACAAAAGGGCCAACGCTAATATTCAAAGCGAGCTTGTAGTTTGGGTGTCCCCCTCAGATTTTAGTATTTTTACCAAAAAAAAAAAAAAGTAATATGTGTGTGTGTGTTTATAACTCCTAAATCAAACAGATATATATTACATACCTCAATTTTAACCAAGTATAGAAATCTAACATTTTCAGTAATTTATCATTCCCAACAATGTAACATTCTCTAAGGTAATCTCACATTTCGTGAACAAAACGACCCCTTACGGCTCGTTTGGTTCGCATAAAATATTTGAAGTAGAATGGAATTGAAATTTCTAAACAAAAACAAATATTAGGAAGATGAATTCCATATTTCCATTATTTGGTTAGTAGAAAAGAAATTATTAGGTTGAGTTTGAAATTATAAAGAAATTATAAGTATAAAGACCAATATGCCCCCGGATAATTAAAAATTTTCATTTATTTCTAGGTAATTAAGAAAGTTTCATGAGGATAAAATATATAATTGTGACATATTATTTTACCAAACACTTTCAATCATAACAGTTAGCTTAACAACTCTTCAGTTTTCAGCTCCGAGCTTATAGCTTTTCAGCTTTCAGCTCCTTTTCAGCTTTCAGCTCTTAGCTTATACATTTTCAGCTAGGTTTGTCAAACAGAGCCTATATTTTATTCCCATTTGCAACAGAAAACAAAATACCAAAAGTTTGCAAGTAATTTGTTTTCATCAAATGTGAAGAATTCATTTTCCTCAACAAAACAACATTTTTCTCAATTCTAAGGAAAAAGTTTTTCATTTTTTTAATAATTAATTGTGACAAGTAAATAAAAATTAAAAGATGAAATGAAACAAAATTAGAAGAATAAAATTAAATATACTAATGTTACAATGTCAAATATATTTGGGCACCTTGTTTACCAACTCGGATGGTTGACCAGTCCGATGTATCTTCAAATCTGGACAAGAGAGAGCTGATCTTGTCCAACAAGGAGGCCGGCTGGTCTGCCCTCGGGAGCAAGGCGTCAATGATAGGGGTATGGTCGGGTGAGGCCAACTTCAGCTTCTTGGAGTGGACCTCTTCTTTCACCTCGGAAACCTTCTCTTTGCCACTTTTACTGTAAGGACAGGTCATGGGAACGTCAGGCCCCGAGGTCGACGGAATCACCATTTTCAGGGGTAGAATGTATGGGATGGTGTATAATGATAATGAGTATAAAGGCCAATATGTCCATGACTAATTAAAAAGTTCCATTTATACCTAGGTAATTTAAAAAGTTTTATGAGGATAAAATAGTCATTACATGTTATACTTTATTTCCACTTGCAGCGGAAAAAAAATACCAAAACTTTTCAAGGAATTTATTTTCCTAAAATGTGAAGAATTCACTTTCCTCAACAAAACTACATTTCCCTCAACTTAAAAAGTTTTTCATTATTTTGTATAACTAATTGTGACAAGTAAATACAAATTAAAAGATGAAATGAAACAAAATTAAAAGAATAAAATTAAATATAATAATGTTACAATTACCAAAAACTAAATATATTATTTCGATCTGCAATTTTGATATCACCAAGTGAAACCTTAATGGAGACACGTTTCAACCATGTGAAGACTTAATCTGTTAATCAAGTCACTTTAGATTTAATTGAACAATCTTACTGGTTTAAGGGATTCAATTACATTATCCGATCGACTTAGAGGGTCAATTTGACCATTTTTCGTTAACTTTATCCAATTTCTAGGCTGTTCATAATTTAAATTCTTTTTGGTATATAAACAAAGTATTAAAATTTATAATATCTTATTATCAAAATATAATTACAAATGAAAAAGCAGTCCTTATTATATGAACCGTTACAAGAAGCAATGATTCCTATAACATGACTCCTCCAAACTCTATTATATATCCTAAAATTTTGAATAAATCTGTAAAACAAAACTTTGATTTGATCATCTGTGGAAGCTAAGGCGATGAAGTCGGATTACAAATGTTGTAAATAAATCCTTAAAATCCCCGAATTTGGGATAGTAGCTAGGTATACATAGTAATGAATCTATACAAGTTGATGTAGGAGCTTGTGAGCCAATTGATCCCGAGCTTGCATTGCGTTAGCGGATCGAACAGGAATCTCGGGGACAACTTCATCATCGTACAGATCGAACCTTAATTCCGGCGGCAATTCTTCCCCTCTGATTTCGCAGATGTTGTGGAGAACACAGCAAGCTCCCAGCACCACCGGCAAGTCCTGGAGCTTCACCTCCGTCCGCTTCTGGAGGCAGCTCCACCGCGCTTTCAGCCGCATAAACGCCTCCTTAGCCACCGCCTGCACGCCGGAGAGTTTCTCGTTGAAGCCGTGCTGTGCCCATGTCCGGTTCTGGTGGGTGTAGGGGACTAGAACCCAGTCCGTTAATGGATGCCCTGAGTTTCCGACCACCCAGAGGTCCTTGAGAAGTCCCCGGTTTGCTCTCTCGTAAAGCGCCGATTTTTCAAGAATCTTGTCGTCGGTCATGGATCCCGGCCAGCCGATGCAAACGTCGGTGAAAACTCCGTTGGAATCTACCACGCCTTGGACGGTAACGGAGTAGGATGTTTTTTGGTTTCTCTCTGTGTGGCGCTTGTTGAAGTAGTCGGCCACGGAGACTTTGGGGGCGACGATGGGGACGTGGGTGGTGTACATTGCTCCGGCCACGTTCGGGATGCCGGAGAAGGCTTCGAATTCGCGTTTGATATTGGTCATGTGTTGGGGTTCCGGCCATTGGAGGAATTTGGGCATGAGAACCGTTCGGATTGCGGCGGAGACTTCAAGAACCAGCTTGTGGCAGGTGGAGATGCCTAACCCGAAACGCTTGGAGACCTCCCGGAGCGGCTCTCCGGTGGCGAGCCGCCAAACGCAGACGGCGACCCGCTGGCGAACCGGGATGGCCAGGCGGAGAGTGGTGTCCTTCTTCGTCACCACCGATTCCAATTCCTCGCAGATCAAATCAAACGTCGCTCTGCTCATCCTAAACGCCTTCTTGAACTCTTCCTCGGGAAAATCAGGACTATTGCATTGCTCCCACCATGCATTCGACCGGTCCTTCACCCATAACCTCCTCTGGCTCTGCCCCTGCGGCGGCGCTCCACCGCTAGAGCCGCCGCCTGCGGCGGCGGCGGCGGCGTCCTCCGGCGTGCTTACAACCTCATCGCCGCGAGAGCGCTTTCCATTATCATTCACCATTTCCATAGTAAACGAAGAATTATGATAGGGGAAAAAAGTATTATCATCATCATGAAGAAGCGCAAAATCTCCATTATCTGGGTACGCCGGATTCTGCTCGGTTTTGGGCATTTCGTGATCGGAAAACAACAGCCTATTCAAGATCTCCTGGATTGAATCATTGGTTTTCTGCTTCTTGGGAGTGGGTTGGGAGACAAGAGCGAGAGTATTAGTATTGTTGTTATCTGGGAAGTCAAAATCATTGAAGAAGAAAGGCTGGGAATTATTAATGGAGAAGAAGTCGTCGGAGACGGGGAATGGGAAAGCAGAGATTTCCATCAAATATAAGTTAAAATTGGGTGTGAAATTGTTTAATAGAAAGAGAGATAGGTTTGAACGCCCCAAGGGAGAAAGCGGTGAAGAAGAAAGAAGAATGAATGAAATGTGAACGGAGGAAGGAGTCGGGCATACAATATATACAGTTATGTTTGGTGTGGACACGCGGGTTCAGACACACGGTTAGTGAATAGTGAAAGGGAAGCGCGTGTGATAGCGACGCGGTGTCGCGTGGATATGAGATTCGTCTGACTGGACTGGACGGTGTGGGTACTACTACGGATTTCGACGGCGACAGGAACCGCGGAGGTTTTATTTGGATTGGATAAATAGAATATATGATTACGCGGTCCGGGGGCAAACGGTTTGTTTAATACCGGGGGGGGGGGGGGGGGGGGGAATAGAATATATTAGAATATAAAAAGGCAGAAAGTCCACGTTTTGAACTTTTGAAGACCCCTCGAAGCTTCGTCAGGAAATTAAATTCACTGTGGAGGTACTGGAGGTATTGAGCATTTAGAGCATCTCTAGCCCACCCAACTCCAAAACACTAAATTTTTACATCAAATGTCACATCAGAAGGAATATTTTCACATCAAATTTTATTCATCCCCAACCCATTTACACCAAAACACCAAATTTTACACTAAAATAATTTTATTTTTCAATTATTATTTTGAATTTAATTAGTTTAATATAATTTAATTCGAACTTACTTAGTTTAATATAAAATATAACTTGTGATGTAAATAATAATTTTTATTAACATTAATTTTTTTATAAAATTAATTATTTTGAAAAATTGAATTTAGCAATATTTTTTAAAATTTAATTTATTCCACAATAATAATATAGCATACAACATCTAGTACAAACTAGTCTTTGAAATTTTAATTAATATATATTCAATATTAGTCTTGTTTCGATCGTCTCAATGAGATCTTTAAAATGATATAATTTTTATTTAATAATACAAACTTTAAATATAAGTATTTAACAAAATAAAAAATTACATATAAAACAAATAAAGGATACATTTGGAATTATAAAAAAGAAGTAAAGGCAAAAGAGTCATTTTCATCCCCTTTTTCATTTGCCGCGGATGAATAGTGCAGCGCCAAATATGGCGCTGCACTATTCATTAACGCCAAAGTTTTTGACGTTATGCCGCAATGCAATCCCCCTTTGGAGTAGTCTAATTTTCATATTTGGCGTTTTGGGGTCAGATTTTGCAGTTTTGCATCTCCCTTTGGAGATGCTCTTAGAGGACAATTTATATCATGGACAAAACAGCTCAGTTGGTCATATGAGTGAAGTTTGAAAAAAATAATCAAGGATCACGCTTCGTCTTTGTGTTCGCTCTGTTGGGTTGAAGACAACTGAATTACCATGATTTAAATCCATCCCCCCAAGAAGCTATGCTTGAAGACAACGTCGGGTTCTCTCAGAGGCGGGTTGGGGATTCAACCTTACATCCTCACAGTGATGTTCAAAATTTATACTCATAAGAAACATAATTTTATAACACAAAACATAAAAAATCACAATACAAGACACATACACATGTTATTGTTGTATAAATAGGGTTGAACCTGGTATAATAACAATGTCGTACCCGTACGGATAATGTACGAGTACTATAAATTTAGGTTGGATAAAACACGGGAAATAGGAAAAGAACGTTCTTGCGACGTGTTATAATTAACACTGCATTAAAACCATTTCAAGACCAGGGTATCGTGTGCTTTCGACTTGCAAACGCAGAACTTAACAAGCACCGTATGCTCAGACTAGAAGGAAGATCGAAGGTGAAGAAGGGATAAGACTAATTTTGGTGTGTCTTAATCCCTTAGTGAGGTGCTGTTTATATATTATTCAATATAGCAGCTCCTCACTTACCAGGCACAAAAAGGAGAGAGAAGTTAGAGATGAAGGGCGAACATTATTTTTCCCATTCCCTTTCCAGCCACACATTTCCTTTTGAATGTTTCCAACAATCTCCCACACATTCAAAGAGGTAAGGTAGAAACAAATAATGTCTGAGCGAAACCCTAAGAACTGATTTCAATGTCAGTAAGTCTTGAACTGACATGTGAAACCACCGAGTGCTTTACTTCCTATAAGTAGGACGTTCCTTTGAACTTTCAGGTTAGTAAAACTTCAACTCAGGTGTTCACGTCAACTCTGATCAGGTTCTACACAGTCAAACACTTTGACTGATAATCAATCCCTGTTTAGTCTAACTCTATTTAGACTTTCAACTCTGTCAAGTCTATCTCAATATAGACCACCTTCAGGCTACAGAGTATGTTATGGTCGCTTATATCCATAACTATGGTGTAACTCTTTTCACGATTTCGTTTGACCACCATAGGTGGTATCTGTCATGAATTCATTACCTCATTGGTTTTAAGCCCATCTCCCTTGACGTTTCAAGGACGGCTTTTCGATTTAAGCCTTTTGTGAGAGGATCTGCTATATTCCTCTCAGATCTCACAAATTACATTGTGATGACCCCGTTCAGTATTAACTGTCGTACATACTCATGTCTGACTCTTATGTGTCTTCTTTTCCCATTGTAGACACTATTCTTTGCCACACAAATGGCAGTTTGGGAATCATAATGTATGGGCACGACAGGTGTTGGACACTCCCACAATGGCGCGTTTGCCAATAAGTTTCTTAGCCACTCAGCCTCTTGGCTGGCTAGATCAAGCGCTATGAACTCAGCTTCCATAGTCAATCTAGCAATGCATGACTGTTTTGTTGATTTCCACGATACAGCTGCCCCACACATGAGGAACACATATCCACTTGTTGAACTGACATCCTCGATGTCATTCACTCAGTTTGGATCACAAAACCCTTCTATCATTGTTGGGAATCCTACATAGTCGAGTCCCCAGTCAATGGTACCTCTCAGGTACCGAAGCACTCGTCTTAGTGCACTCCAGTGAGTATCATTTGGGTTGTGTGTGTACCGACTGAGTTTGTTTACTGCAAAAGCAATATCGGATCTAGTACAGTTCATCAAAAACATTAGACTCCCAATTATTTTTGCGTATTCCCCTTGGGATACACCCCCCCCCCCCTAGTTTTTGATAAGTTTACACTTGGGTCATAAGGGGTTTTCGCCGGAGTCACATCAAAACTATCAAATTTCTTTAACAGCTTCTCTGTGTAGTGGCTTTGCGACAAAAGGTATCCTTTGTCGGTTTTTAACACTTTCACCCCTAGTATGAAATTGGTTTCGCCAAGATCCTTCATGTCAAATTTAGTACATAGGATCCTTTTGGTCTCATTGATAGCTTCTATGCTTGAGTTGGAAATCAGCATGTCATCCACATAGAGGCATAGAATCACAAATTTGGATTCAATTTGTTTGGTGCACAAGCAAGCATCAGACAGGTTAGCAATGTAACCTAGGTCTATTAAAGTTTTATGAAACTTCTCATACCACTGCTTAGGGGCTTGTTTTAAACTATACAAAGATTTTTTGAGTCTACATACCTTTTCTTCCTGACCAGGAGCAACACACCCAGGAGGTTGTTGCATGTAGATCTCTTCATCTAAATCACCATTCAGGAATGTTGTTTTCACATCCATTTGATGTACTATCAACTTGTGCAAGGATGCTAAAGCAAACAAAACACGTACAATTGAGATTTTTGTTACAAGTGAATATGTATAAAAATAATCTTCACCAAATTTCTGAGTGTAGCCTTTGGCTACAAGCCTGACCTTGAATCTTTCTATGAACTCATCTGGTCTCACAAGCCAAAAGGCATTGTCAATCTTCTTAGGCTTCATTTCTTTCAGAGTTCACAACTCCTGTCTCATCCATTTACTATTTCTTCAAAGATAGAGGGAATCATCTTAACGTTTATTCAATCCATCCTTAAGTCCAATTTCTCGGTGCTTCAAGTTTTACTTTTAACCTTCGGGTTTAATATTTGAAATTCTCTTCACCATTTCTCTCAAAAGCATCTACTTTTGTGGGTTCGACTTCTTCTTACTGCATATACGTTTACATTGGTCTTCCTTCCTTCTGGTTGCATCAGCATTCACACTTGTCTCTTCTTCACGATTGGGAACCTTTAAACATTCGTCTTTAAGCTCCCGTTGCTTCTTTTCCTTCATATTTGTCTCCTGCTGTACGAAGATTCTCTCCAGCTTTTGGGGTTTGCTTTATTCTTGCAGATGATGTTGCACGTGTGAGGGTGCCTATCTTTTCGAGCAAGGACTGCTACAACTGGCTCCAAGCCGCATGTGGAGTAACCTTCTTCGTCAGGCTCTTCGGCTGTCTGGTTGCCACACTACTACCTTACTTCTTCGCAACAAAGATCTCACTACTTCTAACTTCTTTTCTCAAAAGCAAGGATCACACGTGTAAAACACACATACATAACTCTTATACTTATCACATTAACAACTTTCACATAACTTTCAACTTTAAACTTTTTAACTTCTCAAGGGTATCCACAAGGCTAAACAAGGAAACCACTTAACTGAAAAACTTGGACTCACCAATTAGGTGCACACCTGATTTGAAGGAATTTCAACTTCACAAAAGGTGAAAGTAAGAGATTTCTAAATTTGAAACTCGAGAGAATTATTGGTTACAACCCAAGTCCTACTTATCAAAGTCAAGATTATCCAAGATTCAACAAAGTCTCATGAAACAAAACTGTAGATCGGATCCCAAAAGAAGGGCACAACATAGAATAGTCTCAATGAAATAATTTAATACTAACGGATTCCAAATGAAGATGCAATAGGGATTTAATCTCAAAACAATATATCAACATTAGTGGATTCCAAATGGAGGTATAAAAGAGAGATGATCTAGAATCAATAGCTCAATAACAAGGAAAGGATGTCACATTGGACGATCTCAATACTATGGCAACTTGATCCGAGTGTACAAAAAGAACACATGGTCAATAAAATAGCTCTTCAAAAACAAAACACTTTCAAGAATACTCAATAGATACAAGCTCATAGGAATTACTCAACAAATACGGATTCCAATGGCATAACAACAACAATTATATCTGGACTCGACAACTCAATGGATTCCAACAATATGGATTCAAGGATAATACGCTCA